TTTTATTATAGCATTGTGATGTACTTGTGATGTGTTTTTTTTTTTATGATGAAAAATAATAAAAATTTATACTTGGAAAAAAAAAACTATGACCTGAGTCTGAGTGTGCCCTTTGGTATCTCTGTGTTAATCCTATTATGTCCTGTCTTAGACTTTGGGTGGGGTATGTAGATTTTAGGTGTCTTTGTCTTCTTAATCTTCTAGCTGGGGCTTCCAACCTTCCTGGATGGTTTACATCTGCATTTGTACAGAGCTAGTTTCTGCTTGGGGGAGGGAGACCTGGGGCTATTAAGAAAAACTGGGCATGCTTTTCTGCCTCTTTAAGATCCTTTGAGGAAATATATTTTTCTGCCCTTTTAATATTTTCTTCTCTGGGGGGCTGACTTCCCATAGCACAATAAACCAGATATACCCAACATGGGATTTCAACTAAATATAATTTATATATTCCACATGCCTTCTATGGAAAAATTTTTTACAAGCCTCCAAAAGGCCATGGGAGTAAAAGCCACCCTCATCTCAGAAGGCAAGCTGTTCCAGAACAAGAGCTAGAACAGTGGTTCTCAACCTTTTTAATGCCGCGACCCCAACCGGTCGTAAGTCGAGGACTAAACCGGTCGTAAGTCGAGGACTAAACCGGTCGTAAGTCGAGGACTACCCAACCGGTCATAAGTCGAGGGCTTTCCCTGCCCGGGAGCGCCACACATGCATGGTTCTGCCTCCTGCGCCGGCCGAGGCGTAGCTGGCAAGCGGCAGAGATGGAGCAGGCCGACCACCAGCTGGCCCAGCCCAAGGGAGGTAAGGCACCCACCGGAAAAGGGGAAAAAAATGGCGGACAAAAAAATTGGACAAAAAAAATGGCGGACAGCCTTGCTTGGCGACCCCCGTGAAATGGTCAATCGACCCCAAATGGGGTCCCGACCCACAGGTTGAGAACCACTGAGCTAGAAGAATGGAGATGATCTGGAGAATTCTGAGTTATTCAGTGTAATAGAAAAAAATGGGCAGATGAAAGTAAGGATGAAAGTCTCATCTGGGTGAGTGGAGGAGTCTGTCTATGGATACAGGATGTGGCAGCTTTATGTCCATTTAAGAGATTTAGTGCACAGTGATCTACCCAAAAGAGCAGGATGGCTAAATTACATTATCTAAGAATATGGGGGCAATCCCAAATGACTGAGAACTGGGTTTTGAGCAAGTGGTTCAGCATCTTGGGGCTTATTATCTTACCCTTGCTTTATATTCATGTTATTTAGATTTTAACACTATTAATTCACCTTCCTGTGAAACGTGCTTCTGTGTTATAAGAAAAAATAGAAACTTTAAATATGTTTTAAAACAGGGCCCCCCAACTCCCAGGCCGTGGACAGGTACCGTCTGTGGCCTGTTAGGAACCAGCTGCTCGAGCATGGGATCTAGGTAGCGCAGGAAACCACTCCCTCCCCAGTCCATTGAAAAAGTCTTCCACAAAACCAGTCCCTGGTGCCAAAAAGGTTGGGGACCACTGTTTTAGAGCATAGTTTTTTCCCCCAGCATTCAGATTAAATTGTTGTCAGGTAAATTGACATTTTTAGCTTCAACAACAGGCCCTTTTGTAAAATGAATTTTTATAGAAGCAGAAAAGTGGATTCTAAGGCTATTTTCTGTAGAACTATCTCAATTATCTCATCTCAGAGCAGAAAGCAGTTTATCTTTGCCTCTAGAATCAGTCCTTTTTTGTTTGCAAATACACACATACACACAATACAGCTTTTCTCCACCACCTGCATTATTTGCCTAACCTCAAGAAATTAAAACATAGTATTTTAGGTAGACAGGATTCTTCAGCATACCCTTTCATGTGCCCTAACCTACGTCTGTACACTTCTAGATATTGTACATTCGTGAACTAGTCCCCCTTGGGGGATTTAACTTCTATTGACTCTCGAAAGCCGACGTCGTATCGCTACTCTTATTAACCATTCAAAATGTTAGCAAGCCATCCTCGCTTCGCTTCTATTTCTCCATCTTCTAGGTCAACTGAACTTTTTTTTTTTTTGCGAAACCCTCTTTTAATACCTGGCTTTCAGTCGGCTAAGGAAACAGAGGCAACTCACTGGATAGGGGCCCTTAAGGAAGCAGCCAAGAGAAATGCTTTGCTTCAACGGCTGCCAGATTTACATGATTAAAGCCCCTTCCCCCCCGTATTCCCCTCAGCCGCAGTGGTACTAGCAATGCGCATGCGCATCCACAGCCGGCTCGGATGGCGTTGGGGGATGGGGAGAGAAACTTGGGAAGGCAAAGCAAGTCAGCGCGCGTCTCCACCTTAACTCGTCCCCTTTTCAAAGGAGCGCGAAAAAGCCTTCCTTCGCCACTTTATTGGCTGAGGCTAATGAAAGAGGTGGGACTTAGGAAAAAAAACAATCCGTTTTCCCAAATAACATCTATGTCTACCATCCTGCTTCTGTCTACTGTACTGTAATCTCTGCTATATCCAGTGCTTTTGAGCTATTGTTTTAAACAAATCAGAGTCACTTAGAGAGAAAATGGAAGGATCAGAATAAAAATGTGAGACGTTTTGCTATTGGTCCATTAATGACTACGTAATGCTCTAAAGGGTTTCTCGCACTTCCTCCCCCTCGTGATTGGCTAATAGGTAACAAGTCTTTGGAAGATGTTATGATTCTGTTAGGGAAGAGCTCTCTGATTGGTGGAAAAGGCAAGCAGGTTCAGACCAGAGCGAGCGCGCCCCCTTGCCGCGTCTTGCCGACTAGGAACTAATGAGCGCGCGCTCCTGAGAAAACTCGTCTAGCCTGTTAGGAGGGCGCGCGCGCGCTGTATGGTGCTACCTATTGCGGGAGCGCGCCGTGAGAGGAGGGGGAGCCGGAGCATCTCTTTCACACGCGCGGTAGCAGCGACTCCTCCTTTGTTTCCCCCCCACACACACCGCTCTAGAGCTCTCGGGCCGCCTGGCTGGCGGGGGCCGGCACGGTAAGGTGGGGGAGAACGTTGATCGCGCACGCGCGTGGATGAATGAATGGGTGAGTGGATGACCGTGTGAATGCTTTAGAATGAATCGGGAGGCTTCGGAGAGCAACCTCAGCAAAATCAGCACGTCCTGATCGGATGGGGTGGGGGCGCCGTTATTTTCCGTCTGGAGCCGGAGTCTCATTTCTGCGATCGGCTTTAAGGGTAAGAAAGTAAAGGCAGGCGGGGGGGTGTCGAGTCCGCCTCTTTAGAGCCCCCCCGGCATTTTTTTCATCTCTCGCCCCCCTGGCCTCCTACCAGCATACAATACTTCCTCCCTCCTTCCCCCATCCTAGCCTTTGCATCCTTTTTGGTACTTCTAAGCATCTTTGTTATTGATTGTTCAAGCTCTTTGTGGGAATGGATTCCTTCCTGATGTGTCCTATTTAGATTTCAGTAGTTCATTTATTATTCATTTTATATCCCTGCTCTTTGATATTTCTCAAGTTATTCCCTCCCCCCACCCCCGATCTCCAGCACAAACGGGCTGTAGAGAAAATAGAGTTGGAAAAATGTAGAGTTGGGGTATATAATTTATTAAATTAATATGACAACATGGAAAATGAGACTTATTTTTGCTGATCACAACATAAACTTTATGTTCAGAAATATTTCAGAATGATAATAAATGCTAGCTTGGATTTCAGAACGTTGGATTAAATATTCAACATGTAAATTCACTTCCCTTTGTTCTTAGTCTGTTCTTAGTCGTTCCTCTGATAGTGCCCATCTTTTTTTGATAAGCTTCTTTTCACCTTTTCTACCATTAGTCTTTCTTCCATCCTTCCATTCTGCATACCCACAAAGCAAAATCCTCAGAATCTGTGTGTTTGTACTTCTGTTCTGTGGTAACCCTAGCTACTCCAATGGTTCCAGTAATGGTGAAGAAAAAATAGATTGTAGTCTGCTTATGTATCACAATTGTAAAGGATCATATAGTGCTATCTGGATGCTTAGATTATTGTGAACCATGTTGGACCAGGCAGGCCTTACTACCTGTAATAAGGGTCATCTATGCTCTTACAAAAGGATGTTTATTCAAGATTGCTTGGTACATATTTCATTATTTTTAAGGAATCCTGCTAATTTTTTAAATCACAGTAGTTGACACAGAGAATTCTGGTTTTGTGATGTTTAAAGTTGATTGTACACAAGTAAAGTTAGTCCATGTATCACTGCAGCTGTTTCCTTCACACTTTCTTTCTGAAAGACTAATTCAGAGAGTTCTCCAATGTAGTTTTTCTTCCAACTACCTTTGATGTCACTTCATCTGTTGATTTTCGTTCTTATGAAAAGTAATTCAATCTCCCTCTACTTGCCCCCCCTATCTTATTTTAATGGTTCTAGTCTTTGGTTGTGTGGTTCTTCTGACAATTTTTTAACTTTGGTACCATTTTCCTAGTATTGTCTCATCCAAGTGTTATCCCCTTTCTTTCAGGAAATGTGAATTGGCATTATTCCTATTCTTGTCTCCAATTTCCTATGGGTTAATTCTAGAATATTAAAGGGGTTTGGATTAACCATGTTCAGTGAAAAGGGCTTAACAAAGATGTCCTCTAAGACTCATTTCTGGTCCCTTGTAATGAAAGAATGGAAGTGCTTTCTACCTTGCCCTTATTCTTTTTCTTCCAATCCCATTCCCTTATTCTGTTCTGCTTTCTTTCCATTTGTATATTCTTCTTCCCAACTGACAATAATTCACCAAGTTCTCTTCTCAACTTTGAGAATCTGGAGAACATGGTCATGTTTTTGTGCAAACAAAGGCCAAATGGTGCACTATTTTCTCACTTTTCTGTTCTTTTCTTGGAAAGAGTCAAGAATGGCAGCCTATCTGAAAATGAGATAATGAATCTTTGTAGGACTTCAAAGAATACAAGAAAAAGCATATATAGCCCTTTCAGATGATGCAAAAAGATGAGGCTGTAGAAGTACTGTACAACATAAATCAAGGACCATACATTTAGCCTTACTCCAAGATTGCACAGCTCTTATGGACTCCTCATGCAGTGGGGGTAAAATGCAAAGACATCTTTATCTACAGAGACTTTCCTTTTCATGAATGACTCAGATTTTCCAGACCTCAGATTTTAGGACCCTTTATTACCTGGTAAATCAGGATAGATATTCCTCTCACTTAAGGAGCCTGGAATTGTGCAGTCTTGAGCTGGACTGAATATGCGACCTTGGAGATGAACTGTGTTTGTGAAGCTCTTTATTAACAGTTGAAGGGTCTTAGGAATGTGCTATCAAGGCACATATCAAGGTGCTTTGATTTTCCTTGATATACTGCTCAAAATAATTGTGAATGTCTATCTAGAAGCCTTCTGTAAATGGAGGGAATGCTCAAGATCAGTCATCTAATAACAGAAGTGCAAAACCTCTGAGATTTCAGGTAGCCTTCAGATGTGTTAGATATAACCCCCATAAGCCTCTAAAAGTTGCTACATTAAAAATATAATTTGAGAAATAGGCAAAATGATTAAATACATGCCTGTGGAGTAATTGCTTTAATTATATTTTATTTTAATTAAATGGATATAAAATCAAATTTAGGAGTCCCCCCCCCCCCATTCCTATCTATTACTGTCTAAATTGCATTTCTCACATGCTGCTTAGAGGGCAGATATGGCCCTTGGCCCAGAAAAAGATGGACCCTACTGCCTTCCACTTGCTTTCAACATGAAAGCCTAGTCTGCTTCCAACTAGTCTGGGAACCTAGGATGAGGTGAGAATGTCCTATAGTCTCCTCTAAAAATAGGATGAAAAGAGGATCTTTTATTTTTACCATTTCCAATTGAGAGATAGGAAGAAGCAAAATAAGGTGTGTGTATTCATTTTATGATTGTAGTCTGGAGTCATAGTTGCTTTGTACCCCACAGAACTAAAGGATTTAGCATCTTAGCCACTCAGGAAATATTCTAAAGCACCTAATGGTTTCTAGCAATTTTATTCTGCTTTTTTTCTTTTTCATCTGCAGGTAGACTGGTCTTCTAAATCCAGGGATTCTTATTATAGTACTCACTGACTCAAAGGCAACATGCTTTTTCTTTCAGCCACTCTTGGCTGTTTTCCACCTCTTGCTTACCTTGAGGAAACATTCCCTTCTTATTTGTCTCTCCCCAGCTTGTTTTATTTATTTGTATTTATTTATAAATGTATAAACTGCTTCAGTTGAGACTGACATACAAAAGGAGCACTGCAGCAAAGAGGAACATTGTTCTGTGCTAAGACAATTTTTCTTGTTTTTCTCTTAAGAATACTTTCTCCTTTGTTGCTCTTGTGTCCCTTATTCTTTTTCCTCAATACTTTATCATAATGAGGAAAATAGACTGGCAGGATAGAATATTTTGGAAAATGAAACATTTCCACTTTTTCCTTCATTATTTATATTATATTATTCTGCCCCCAAAATAAGACACACAATGGAGTACATTTCCCCTTGCACTTAAAAGCAAAAAAAATTAAAAAATCTTTTGTTTGACTAAATGTTATCATGATGTTCAAAGTGGACTAACCATGATTGGTATTAACTACAGTTAGTGAAGACAAGTCATTTTAAATTATATATAATTTATATATTTGTTTTCATTAAAGTTAAATCAAGAACAATTTAAGATTCACACATAGAGCTGAACAATATTTGATCTGAAAAGGAAGCAGAAAATTGATGAAGCTATCATTGAAACAATGTTCTTATAAATTGAGGGAAACTGCATTGGCAGAAAACTAACTTGACAGTAAAAATGTTTTAAAATCCTATTATAAAAAATAGATTTAGTCAAATGTGGATGCCGTTTATTAATGATGTTTGTAAGGTACTTAAAAATTGGTAATAATAATGTAATTCCCTCTTTTTATGACCCTGTAATCCCTTAATTCAGGGTAGACAAGGCGACTGGATAAGGTAATTGTTAGTTATAATTACTACCATTTGGAATTGATATAATAAATATTGATGCTTAATGTTTATAATTTCTTCAATTATATAGAAATAATACTCCCAGCTTTACTTTTTTCTTCTTTTTTGGGGGGGGAGGGGGCTTTTCCTTTCTCTGTGTAGTTCATTTTTCAATTTGGTTTTATTTTTATGTTGATATTACATTTGCTTAATAAAAAAGCAATATTTTTAAAATAATATTCTTCTGTAGGAAAAAAATCCAATTCTAAAAATGCTTTGTTTCAGAAAATAGTATAATGAATGCATTCAAATTAAATAATCCCAGTTAAGCTTTTCTAATAATTATTCTTGGGAAGCAGATACATAAACAGAAAAGTCTTAATATGTTAATTGGAGCACCTGACCTCACATTTCAAGGAACTTTCCAACAAAAGACTGCAGGTGAATGATGAGAGCATCACCTGGATGGAACTGAATGGCAAAGATAGCATCATATCAGATGAAGCAAGCTCCGCCTTCTTCTGTAAATGTGTTGTGGCATTGCACATGCCTCCAAATAAAGTGGAACTTGCAACATGATACTGCTCTCCATGGGAGAGAATTCACTGAAGCTAACGTTCAACTTTAGTGGGCATATCTGGGATCCCATCAGTTTCAACAGATCCTCAGCCAGCCACTACTGAGATGTAGTCTTTGGGGGATTTTGGAGATTGGGAATTCCCAATTTAGGAAGAACCATTTTTAGGAAGGGGAAAAACGGGTGGATTTCTCCCAACCAGATTGGAAATCTCCTTCCTGAATGTACCCTGGGATCCTGTCTCAGAGAAATTGGAGATCCTTTTTAAAAATGCTGGAGGAAACTCTAAGGCACTTCAAGAAAGAGGTAACAAAAGCCTCCACAGTTGGACATTTCACAATCTGGCTGATGTGTCCAAAAAGCTCCAGGGCTATTTCTTGCTGAGCCAATTGGCAGCTGATCACATAGGTGTTATGTAACCATACAGGTTGATGTTATATGGTTGAAATAATAACAGTACTTAAGACTGCAATCGTGTGCATGTTTACCTAGAACAAAGCCCCATTGAATTCTGGAAACTGCTTCTTAAAATACGTAGCTAGAGCCTCATCTGACCATTGTTGCATCAAAGTAATGACAAAGTTTTTTCACTATTTTAGGCAGAATATATATGAAAATTGCAGTAAAAGTCTTACCTCTCCAAGAACCAAGTTAGGAAAAATCAACTTATTGTATCTACTATGGCACTGA